GCACCTGGAGATCTCCAGCTATTAAAACTGATGTCCAGATGACCAAGATCAGTTCTCCTGGAGACAATGGCTGCTTTGGGCAGTGGATTCTATGGCATTATACCCTACTGAGGTCCCTCCCCACCCCAAATCCTGCCCTCCCCAGGATCTACCCCTCAAATCTACAGGTATTTCCCAACCCAGAGTTGGCAACCATGTAATCAGCTATGGAACTACTTTCCAGACCCTTGGAACCCAGAAAACATGGCACAGGAGGAGGTGCTTTTCTACCTTCACTGCCACTGCATAACACCCCCCTCCCCCTCAAAAAATAAGTCAGAGGTGGAGAGAACCATATCTGTTACCACGATGCCGTCCTCCCATTCTACCCACTTGGGACAGCAAAATGACTTGAGACAGCTCTGCCTTATAGCTAAGCAGAAGGAAAGAAACATGGCTTGCCTCCCTCCATTTTCCGCTTCCCTCTGCCGCCCCACCAGCCACAGTCAGGACACTCATCTGGAGCTTCCTTCTAGATCTCATTGTATTTCTTCCCACAACGGTCATTACTCCTAGTATATATATATATAAGCATTTCATCCATTTGCAGAATAAGCTGCAGTGTAGCAGGCTTTATTCATTTTGGACTGAAATGGCAATGTCAGTGAACCCTTTTTTATGGGAGTGAATTAAACATAAAATAAATATTAAAAAAATAAAAAGATGTGCCTTTGCATCCTAAGCCCGCATTATTGTGTCATTTAGAAAATTTAATATCTAATGGTCTAATAAAAATATTAAATAGTGCTGATGAATGGATTGTTAATTCAGAGGGTAGGCATACATACCATTTAAAAGATATACCATCATGCAATTTGCTTTAATCAGTGTTTTCATTAATATCAGCACACACTGCATGTTGTGGGTGTTAATGGATGTTTTGTGGCTACTTTTATTACAGCATGTGTGTTCTGTCAGGATCATTTTGAACATTACCATCTCATTGCCATATATTCTAGTGCTGCCATATGAAAAATGTTCCGTTATACTGTTCTATGGATTGAATTAGTTTGTGTACTATGTGATCTATTGCTCCTCTCTTCATGGATGGAACATCTGAGACAAATTAATAAAAATTGATGATTTATTTTTTATGCATAATACAGCAACAGCTGCTTTCAGACTTTTAGGAATTGCCCCCGCTTTTGCAGATAATCTGGGTTCTCCCCTCCCAGCAATTTGAATGCACCAAACATGTCCCCTTCCTCTCATGATCTTTGATTCTCAAGATTCTCAAAATCTACATTGTCCCACATTGTTTGCCCAGTCAGTATCACATTTATTAGCCAGCAGTGTTTCCTTCTAGCTTCAGGTAACTTCACTGTACTTGCTTAAGTACTTGCTCCCAACATGATTAAGTTCTTCTCCCTTCTGGTGATCCCAGCTCTAGGGGCCCCAACTTGCCTCTTCAGCACTGCTACTGAATTCATACGACTCCAGATATCTCTTCCCAAGCAATTTTGATGATGTCCACAGCAGTCCTAGAGAAAACATCATTGTTAGTTCTGGCCTTGATATTGTAGGAGTCAGACTTATTTTCTTCTTCCTGTTTTAAAACGCAATTTCAAATGTACTGCATTGTCTTTTTCAATAGAAGCTATAATTTCTTTGTGGGGAGGGTAGCAGTACAAATAAAGCAGCAAGGTTTTGAATAATTTGTCTTCCCTTAGAACTGCCCTGTTCCTGTTTTTCCTACTATTTTGAGTCTTACTAATGGTTCACCTTGTATTTGAATCATTTCATTTCAGCCTGTGTCATATGAGCATTATGAAAATTTAAAGGTAGTGTTTAGCAGTTGTCCCCTGTTCAGTTTCAGTGTTTGCATTGTTGCCTCTGCCCCACATTCTTCAGATGAAGAGAATTCATTCATGCTTAGGATAGTGCAGTATACTACAATGCATCATTAATTGGCATTATATGGATACTAACCTTGTTCCATAGTAATATGGCATTAGTTCTAGAAAAAAACATGCATATTTGATCTCTGTGAAGAATCCTGAGATGAACACGTAAAACCTTTATTCTCAAGGTCTAGTATCTTTATTTTTTAAAAATAATACAAATCTTGCAATCCAAAAAAAAGCCCATTTCTTACGTTCTGTAAGATCTTTTACTGAATTAATTCAGCATGATCATAGTATTCCAAAATGTACAATGATGGATCTCAAAGTTATCTGTTCTTTGTTATCTTTATAATCAGTAGTATGTGCATGTAATGTTTATGCTTTATTGTTTATGCACACTAAAGCATACTCTACTGCTTAATATTTATTAATATCATTTTACTTTTGGTATCACTACGTATTTGCCTTAGTGCTCCAAAGTCTTCTTTAAATAAATGGGTTTGTTAATCAGTTGCAGTGTCCTGGACTGTTGTTACAGTCTTCAACTGACACTTTGAAACCTGGATTTCACAACTAGTCATTAAAAAGATGACAGCCATGCTTTTGATATTCAAATCTGTGGTCTACTGATAAGTGAGGTCTTTGGCTTGTTGTGGGTATTTAGCAGACATTGCACATTGAAAATATGTAGAGTTGCTCATTGAAAGCATTGTAAACTTTTGGGTTTGGATCCTGTGGCATTCCCCCCCCCTCACTTTTCATTCCAGCCACTATGGAGGCTTTCCTCTGCATCGGTGCTTGCTTCCTCTTCGCTAGCACTTCTGGGTGTGCAGAATCAATGTATTTTCAGAAGTAGTAAAGAAAAGGGGGCATTTGTTCAAAAGTATACCATACATAATTTCCTTATCCATCAAATCATAATAGGATTTTGATAGCAAGAAAAAAATTCAAGTTGTGTAATTTATGATGGTAAGTGTTATTTATGATGATTGTGATAAATTGACACAAAAGGTTAATCCCCACCAACAATGACCTGTTACAAACCATCAGTGCCTTTTTGCACAGCTCTTCTGCTGGTTGTCACCAAGAAGGCAGGGCAGCATCTTCAATCTGAAGAGATCTGGTTGAGATAGAAGTTAAAATGATGGTGGTAGTTAATTTTTCCCCTACGGAGAAGCAGCTGGGTCTGTCACATTAAGTTGGACTATGTTCATTCAATCTAGCTGAAGGAACTGTAGATGTTAATATAATCTGTGACCCATCTCCAGAGCATGTGTGCACCATGTATATATACAGCAACAGATATATATATATCTCAAACAACGTGGGATGACTTTTCTTTCATAATAAGGTCAGTATCTAAAGGTTGAGATTGATAAGTCCTTGAAAAAATACAACACTCAGAGGCCACAACTATTTTCAGTCCTCATTATCTTTATTTCAGGAATTATACCAGCACTTAAGTCCCTTTTGGTTCTTTATGGACAGCCAAAACTAGTCTTGGGCTGGTCATTGTTGGGCTAAGTTGGTCCTAATTTGTTGTTAGTATACATTGTGCAAAATGGACTGCAGACTAAATTGTGGGTGAATAAAAAGGTTTAGTCCTGATTTACTATCAGATTTGTCCACCTCAGCCCTACTACCTTATCCTCCAGAGGGTTGTCATGTAGCTTGTCAGTTGCACTTGACTTGGAGGGTCAGAAGTTGTTCAGGTCTTGTCTAAATGGCAAAGATGCACAAGGGTGACCAAAAGTGCATGCCCAGTAGCAAGCAGATAGTTGTACGATCCTGCCCCCCCTTCATTTAAGCCTACAGAAGGGTAGTGGGTTGTGCCAGTTCAAGGTGATGCTCAGAAATCAGCAAGCTATATTAAGACTTTCTATACTTTCTTCAGTCTTAGGAAACAGCTGAGGATCTTCTTTAGCTTGTACCAAGCTTCTCTAACTGAATGAGCC